GCCTTTCTGAAATTCAGGCTGTAATAAGGGGGTTACAGTTAAATGAAGAAATTGAGACTTGAAACAAAGCACAATGTGTGGATTGTTTAGATTCTTGTTCAAAGAAACTGTAAGAAAAAAAGAAAAGAAAGAAAAGATTAGGGCATTAGGAGACAATTGGAAATTCCAAATTTGGAGATGAGTAGATATTTGAGTATATTAAGAAATTACTGATAGAATTTTATACATGGTAATGGTATTGCACATTATGCTAAAAATGTCATTACCTTTGAGAGATACACTATTTTTTTTTATAGGTGTAATGATAACAGTGTCTAGAAAATAAAGAAACTAGCTGAGCAGTTCCTGTGACAAAATATTGGCAATAATCATCCCCCGGGGGAGGAGACATCATAAAAGAGGAGAGGCAGGGCAGGATTTTTAGCATCATCCCCAGGTAAAACTTTCCTCTCTTGTTGTTCTTATTGTTTTATCTTAAATTAGGGCTGCCAGATAAAACATAGCCCCCGTAAAATTTTAATTTCAGATAATCAATGGAAACCCTTTTTGATAAAAGTATATATACTTATACTAAAAAATATACCTTTTAAATGTATGTATTTTATGGGTGTATATATAGTTATGAAAGTATTAATGATTTATCTGAAATTTGCATTGACTTGGGCATCTGCATATTGATTTGTTAAATCTGGTACCCCCTCGTAAATACATGGACACTGCTTGTGAAACAGGACTTTGGACTTCTAGGCCCCTTAGTTTTCTTTCTTGGAAGATGGTTGAATTTTCTTTTCTTTATTCAACTCCTTGTTTTGTATGTCTACCTAATATTATAGCATTAAATTTTAAGTAATCTCTACACCCAGCGTGGGGTTTGAACTCATGATCCAGAGATCAAGAGTTGCATGCTCTACCGACTAAGCAAGCCAGATGTCCCCTTGTAGCATTGTATCTTAAAAATTGACCTACTTCACATTAGCACCAACGGAATATGAAAGTGTTTATTTCCCTCTGTTCTCATCAACATCAGATATCATCTGTCTTTTAAGTTTTGCTAATCTGCAGCACGAAAAGTTTGAGAATTGCCAGTTTAGAACACTTTTTAAATGAGACAGACTTTTCTTTGGTGATGCCTAGCATCAAGGTTTTGTTTAAGATAATTTTAAATATTACTCTACATTGTGAAAATTTGCACCGTGAAGTGTAATGACTTATAAGACATTAGCTGCTTTTTAAATTCCAACAGTAGATTTCCTTAGCTTCTTCTAACAAAACTGAGCTTTTCTGTGCATGCTCAAGTCAACGCTCAAGAATTTCAAGTTAGCTTTAGCAAAAGCAAATATTTATATTTAAAAAGAAAATATTTGAACCCAGAACTCATTAAGATAAAAATTTTAATAAACTGAAGATGTCTTGTTCATTGAAGCCCCTAAAGGAAACATCTAGGTCAGATAACATATATTGATTTAAACAGCATTCCTGTTAGCGTCATGTAACAGTATTTGTAATCATTGCAATAAGGGATTTAAAAAAAAAACTAGTCTCTTTAACCTACATTTCCACAAAAAGCTGTTGAAAGAACACATTTCTGCTCAGTTGTTTTTTCCTTTGCTTAAAAAAAAAAAAAAAGAAAAGTGCCAGGAATCCCACCCCACCCTGCTGCTGGGTAACAGTCGATCATTTATTATTCCTGGATCAAACACAAGCATTCATGCCTATGAAAACATGTTGCAATGAACGGGATCTTGGTCTGTACTAAAAACAAAAAATGGCTAAAAAGAGACTTCAATTTATTTTCAAATTCTATGGCTAAATTCCTGTAATTCCTCACTGGTAAAAACATTGGCAAGCCACTACATTTTACTTAGAATCGGATTTACTTCTGGTGTCTGCCCAGAGGTGTTATTGGGAGCTATTTGTGGCTAGCTTTTTAAGAGACAAGATGGGCCTCAGATGGAATGAATACAGACACTGATGTACAATGCACAAGGAAAGGCTGGAGAAAGAATCAAATAATTTTTAAAAATAACTAAGCACAGCCCATTTTGACTTGAAAGTTTTAATATTTGGCAAACCACAAAGGTTATTTCTCAAAATGACCAAACTTATAGCTGAAACCTTTCCTTTTATTTTGTTATTAAAGCAGAAGTTATACATCTCATCAAAATTCTTTCTAATCAATCAATTCAATCAACTTCAAAAATACAATCACCGTAGATCCAGACATACTCAGTGATCTTCCTTTCCTCGAGCCTCATCAGCCCTTAACCTAATTAAGCCTCTAGAAACTAATACATCCCCCCAAAGTACTTAGTTCCCCCCCCAAAGTGATCGAACCCCTTCTCCCAAGCATTCCTTGTCATCCAGTCAACCACTATGGTCCAGAAATCACCCATAAAACAAATGTCATTCTGGTAGAGACCAATAATATTTCAGTTTATACATTCTGATTATTTTCATTTGAGGGATGGATTCCTACATTATATGGTGCCACAGCAATAGTTTTTGAGAAAGATTGATGACCTGGGCCCAAGAACAGTTTTCCTCTGTCTTCTGTTGTCTTGTTCCTGTTGATGCAACTTCTTTTTGAAAGCATGGGTCAAGAGACAGGTGATTTACTTTGAAATACAAGGAATGTGAGATGGGAGGTTGGGAGTAGAATTAGCCATTGTTCCTAGAGAAAACAATTTATGTGATTTTTTACTTAACAATTACATTAACATTATATCATCCATGATATAAAATGGTACGGTTGCCATTACTCAGAGGAAAAGCAAGGGAGCAGAAGGTGGTCTTCTTCAAAAGTGATTCTCTATACCAGTCTAATCTCAGTTATCCTGGGGGAAATAGAGTTAGCTTGGCAGCATCATTATTATTCCCAAGGTATTTTCAGAACTATCATAATCTTTCCATTTTTGATGATGCTCTAGATACAGTTGGGTAAAGGTGGGTGATTTTGGCATCAGAGGAAGGACTGGGACTGTTGGAGCTGGAGGGGAACTATCTAGAAGAACTATCTTCATATACCAGAAGGGAAGAGATTTGGTGCATTTCATATAGAGGCACTAAACCTAATTAGGAGTGAAGGTAGAAGCAACTGGAGGGTATAGTTAAGCATAATTCAAAGAAGAATTTGCAAAGGCTGTACGAAAAAGCCAGACTCCGGATGTATTGAATTCTTTGTCACTGGAAATGTCCAAGCAAATGCCAGTTGACTGGGGTGAGGGACATTGAAGAGGAACAACATGCATCCTGTGCATAGGGTTGAACAAGAAAACCCCCCAAGCCTCTTCTAACAATGATAATTGCATGGCTCCACTAAGTGGTTGAAGTTTGCTTAAATGGCCACTAGATGGCATTTGTGTATTTGCAAGAGCAAGATTGTTCCCTACTGGTGCAAAAAAGAAATCAAGAACAGGACTTACATAAGGATGTGAAATTTTATTAACAAAATATGTATCCTTATGCAACTCATTTTATTTAAAGATTTTATTATTTATTTGAGATAGAGAGATTGAGAGCACATGAGTGGTGGTGGGCAGAGGGAAAGGGAGAAGCAGGCTTTCCACTGAGCAGGGAGCCCGGCACAGGCTCAGTTCCAGGACTCTGAGATCATGACCTGAGCAGAAGGCAGACGCCTAACTGACTGAGCCATCCAGATGGCCCACAACTCATTTTTTAATAAATATAAGAAAACATAACTATCATTGAAGCAAAACCTTCCACTATCAAGATCTAGTCTCAAAATTGGACTCACTTTCTAAATTTTCTTTTTAAATATGTGTGCCATGTTCAAAGAATTTCATAGAACTTGCCATAAAAATGCTTCTATTCCCCTGCTGAATCTCTCATTTACCTTGTGTGTCTATTGCTCTATATATGGTGTCTTACTCTGTTCCACATGGCACAGCACTGGGCAACATTCATGATACGACCAAAACTGGTATCTAATAGTTCTATTGTGTTTACCATTTACAAAGCACTTGTTTATAGTAAGTAATTCATGTGAAACCAAGAGGTTAGATGTTAAAATATGAAGAAATAGACTGAAAAGTTTAGGCAACCAACCGAAGGTCATAGGTAAGAAAAAGCTTCCCCGTTTTTATCCTGCTGAGCTATGGAGGCTCAGGAAATGCTACCAAGTTTACATCTCTTGAACATTCACAGTGTACTGTGGCATATCAAAGCTTTGAGAAGTCCTGGACCAAAGAAAGGTGTTAAATGTTAGGCCCCCAAAGACTTCAAATATACTTAGCCTCTATCTGTCTGTCTATCTCTGTCATCTTTCTTTTTTCTAGAATGTAAGTTATTATCCAAACAAATATTAGCTTTTTTTAGTGGGAATTGCTGTAAGTGATGAGCATCGAATTCAACTCTATACTCCTTCTTGCCGTTAACTTACGAGCAGTGTTTCATAATGTGAAGTGCATTGAGAAAAAATAGCCTCAATTTTCTCATAGCTAAAAAGAAATGGGGTGTTCAGAATAGCTTGTTCCCACCCAAAAGCTCTCTATGTGGAGAACTTGCCTTTGTCTCTTCTTATACTTCAGCCAAACTGACTGTCTTCCAAAAACAGTCCAAAATGAAAATTCCCACTTCCTCTTTGTTCCTGTGACTTGTTCCTTGTTCCTTGCTCCTGGGTAATCCAAGAGGGATGGCAACACTGCTGGGAGCATCCTCTCTCCTCCGTGCACTGGGTGTGTAGCTAGACACAGTGCAGGCCATTCACCAAACTCGCTTTGATGATTCCTCTCTCCTTAGTTTTATCATGTGTTCAGAATGTCTTTGTGTATTCAATTAGAGGTCTGTGGGTGTGTCATCTGTCAAAACTCTCAGCTGTATGGCTAGAACTCAGAAGATATACTCTGAAAAGCTAAACATTCTCTGAAAATGGACAGAAGGGCAAGAGAGGATTCCGGATCACGTGACTTGTCTATCAGATGGCAACTATAATGATCAGAAGTCCTTTATCTCATAGGGTGGGAACACGGAGGAGCCCTCCATCACTGGGCGAAACATTTCTGAGCCACCAGGTTCCTCACAGCAGCCTTCACATCCTTGTTCCTGAGGCTGTAAATGATGGGGTTGAGCATGGGGATCACCAACCCATAAAAGAGGGGGATGAGCTTGTCGGAAAGGTCTTGTCTGTCTGCCCCCAGGGGATCCTTAGACTTGGGCTTCCCGTACATGAAAAATAAGGTCCCATAGAAGATGACCACCACAGTGAAGTGGGCAGAGCAGGTGGAGAAGGCCTTTCTCCTCCCCTCAGCTGAGGGGATCCTCAGGATGGTAACAATGATGAACACATAAGAGGTGGAGATGAAGAGAACTGGGGCCCCCAGGAAGATCACGTTGGTCACCCCCATGCTGATCACATTGATGGAGATGTCAGCACAGGCCAACTTCAGGACAGCCAAGATTTCACAGGTGAAGTGGTTGATGACATTGTCCCCACAGAAAGGCAGCTGAATTGTCAAAGATGTGTGTATCACAGAAGCTCTACCACCAATAGCCCAGGAGCTGACTTCCATGGGCACATAGGTAGGCTTGCTCATGATCACAGGGTACCTAAGGGGGTTACAGATGGCCACATAGCGATCAAATGCCATCATGCTCAGAAGCACACACTCTGTCCCTGCCATGGTAAAGGAGAGAAACATCTGCACAGCACAGGCTGAGATGGTTTTCCTGGGATCGAGGAAGCCATCCAGGAATAGAGGGACTGAGGAGGTTGTGTAGCAGATGTCTAGGAAGGAGAGGTTCCCCAGGAAGAAGTACATGGGTTTGTGCAGGCGGGAATCAAGGACGGTCACCAGGATGAGGACCCCATTGCCCAGTAGGATCACCAGGTACATCAGGAAGATGAGCACAAAGAACATTTTCTCCAGCTTTGGGTAGGCTGAGAGGCCTAGGAGAATGAACCCCGCCATAGGGGAGGACCAATTGCCTTTTTCCATGTGCTATCCCTTGTCATCAGCCAAGGACAAATGCAGCAAAGGCTTTCTTGAGAAAAGTCTCAGGCATCTGGAACACCATCACTGTGTGCTACAGAACAGGACAACATAGGTGCATAAGAGATAAATGACTGAAAGGGACAGTAGGTAGGAGTGTGCTTAGATCTTAGATGGGGGATGGTCAGGGCTGGAAGAGGGCTTACAAATACTGCACTGAGGGCCCAGAGAGGGGAAGTGACCTGTCCAAGTCTTCTGAGCAAGGTGGTGATAGAGAGACAGGACCTGAGCCCAGCAGAACTAATCCCCAGTCAAGGAGGGCTTTTCCTCTGCTTTATGATGAGCATGGGAAAATGCTGTTAGTTACTTCTTTTTGATGTAAATGCATAGAAATTTCATTTAATCTGGGCTTTCCTAGATTCTTAGAGAGGGGAATCCCCAAGCTGATCCTATTCTTACAACTACCAAAATTTCAAGCCTTGTTAAACGTTGATTACATTTGGAAGGAACTTGTTAAAAAAGTGTTAATCCGGGGCACCTGGTGGCTCAGTGTGTTACAGTCTCTGCCTTTAGCTCAGGTCATATTCAGGGTCCTTGGATGGATATCTGCTCGACAGGGAGCCTGCTTCCCCTCTTTCTCTGCCTGCCTCTCTGCCTACTTGTGATCTGTGTCAAATAAATAAATAAAATCTTAAAAAAAAATGTTAACCCTCATGCAGACAGAATAAAGCCAGGATCAATGTTCAGCCATAAGATGGATCCTTCCTTAGTCGGCCCACCCTCAGCAACAGACTTGCCTATTGTCAGGATTAGGATCTGTCTATTCTTTTTTTTTTTTTTTTTAAAGACTTTATTTATTTACTTGACAGACAGAGAGCACAAGTAGGCAGAGAGGCAGGCAGAGAGAGAGGAGGAAGCAGGCTCCCTGCTGAGCAGAGCCCAATGAGGGGCTCAATCCCAGGACCCTGGGATCATGACCTGAGCCAAAGGCAGAGGTTTTAACCCACTGAGCCACCCAGGTGCCCTGGGATCTGCCTATTCTAATACATATTAAAGGCAATATGTGGGGGAGGTTCCCTCATGGGGAAGAATTCATGAAGGCCACAGAAGGAGTAATTGGAGTGAGTGAACCCACACTATGGGATGACAGCCAAGCAGCTTACTGACCAGTTAAGTCCATTTTTAATAACCGGGCAGACTGTAAGTTATCAGACAGCAGGATGTATGGCATTAACATCTAATCCCAGCTCATTAGAGTTTGGTGAACTCTTAGCTAAGGGTGTCTAAAGAATGGTTTTTCTTTGTCCTTTTATGTTTATACTGTATTCTTGTGTAATATTCTGGCTCTCTGCCTCCATTCTTGGGTTCCCTGCAAGGAGCTAGCTTATGGGAAGACTTACATTCCTTTGGGTTGAGGATTTCCAGACTCTCAGCAACAATTGCCAGACTCTGTATTCAGAATTCTCAATTGTAATATTTCTTTAGCTCTTTCTTAATTGCAGTGGTGTGTACACGTGTGTATGTGTGTGTGTGATGAGTGTGTGTGTGTGGGTGTGTGTGGGTGTGGATGTGTGTGGGTGCGTAGGCGTGGGCAGAGGGTAGACGACGAGTGGTTAATATTAATGAACATCTATTTTCTGCCATATTCTTTGAAGCAAGTGACGGAGAAGACACTGTCATTCAGGTGTCATAGGTAAAAGTAAACAGAGCTCAGAGGAGCCAAAGATTTGGTTCTTAAGATTGAACGCCATTGCCGGGGTTGGATCACAGGCCCCCAAGCTGGGTTCTTCCCACCAAATAGCTGCCGCACTGTCTTGCACAGATGTTGCAGAGTCTGTCTCTGCAGTACCAGCTCTGTGGCTCTCTGCTCTGTCTCATAGCCCAGCCTGCTCTTGCTTCAGTCATGGTTGGAGTTTATGTGAGATACTCTGTCAGGCAGAGTGACTTCCGCCCTGCACTGCGCCCAGAGCTGTGGGACCAGCCCCTGCGGGTCCATATCCATGGATATGGATGTTCTATGTAGCTTGAGCAAGTCCCCAGGCCTCGGTTTCCCCATGTGCATCACAAAAAGGCTGAACAGTTTTCCTCCCAGGGCATCCCAACTCCGTCATGGAGTGCCCAGCGCTGTCCTCACCAGGCAGGGAGCAGTCTTGGGTGAAGGTTACAGACCCTTCCTTTGGGTGAGTGTGTGTGTGTGTGTGTGTGTGTGTGTGTGTGTGTGAGTGTGTGTGTGTGAAGAGGTGATCTGAATGCTTGGTTTCCCATCAAGATATGGCCAGCAGGAAATAGTGCCGTGTCAGGCTTTGGAGGAGACTCAGGATGGAAGAAAACAGAGAGGTCTGACACCTACAGCCCCAGGTGCACATGAGTCAGCCTGTGAGAGCAGGAAAGGAAGGGAAGCTCTTACCTTTGTGGCTGGATCCTACAGGTGTGACACCGGGATAGGGCTTGCTTGTGGCCTGATCCCTACTTATCTCTGGAGGCAGCAGGCAGCTGAGAAAAGGAATGCAGTCCTGAGCCCCATGTATTGTCATGCCGCCTCTGTGGAGAGCAGCTTCTGTAGAAAAACAAAAAAGCTGGGAAATGCACAAAACTCAATATTTCAACCTCTGGAAGAAAATTGTGAATGCTCAATGAAGTGGAAGACCGGTATCTCTCAATGGAAGCCTTCATAACTGTCTGCCAATAAATGCCTGATGGTGCCATTTCATATAATGGAATATTAGACATTTAAGTTACATTTATAATTTTTACACTAGCACATCATTACACTTTATTTATTATTATTATTTTTTTTATTAAATTTTATTTTTTATAAACATATAATATATTTTTATCCCCAGGGGTACAGGTCTGTGAATCGCCAGGTTTACACACTTCACAGCACTCATCATAGCACATACCCTCCCCAATGTCCATAATCCCACCCCCCCAACCCCCCTTCCCCCATTAACCCTCAGTTTGTTTTGTGAGATTAAGAGTCACTTATGGTTTGTCTCCCTCCCAATCCCATCTTGTTTCATTTACTCTTCTCCTACCCCCTTAACCCCCCATGTTGCATCTCCTCTCCCTCATATCAGGGAGATCATATGATAGTTGTCTTTCTCCGATTGACTTATTTCGCTAACATGATACCCTCTAGTTCCATCCACGTCGTCGCAAATGGCAAGATTTCATTTCTTTTGATGGCTTCATAGTATTCCATTGTGTATATATACCACATCTTCTTTATCCATTCGTCTGTTGATGGACATCTAGGTTCTTTCCATAGTTTGGCTATTGTAGACATTGCTGCTATAAACATTCGGGTGCACGTGCCCCTTCGGATCACTACGTTTGTATCTTTAGGGTAAATACCCAGCAGTGCAATTGCTGGGTCATAGGGTAGTTCTATTTTCAACATTTTGAGGAACCTCCATGCTGTTTTCCAGAGTGGCTGCACCAGCTTGCATTCCCACCAACAGTGTAGGAGGGTTCCCCTTTCTCCGCATCCTCGCCAGCATCTGTCATTTCCTGACTTGTTAATTTTAGCCATTCTGACTGGTGTGAGGTGGTATCTCATTGTGGTTTTGATTTGTATTTCCCTGATGCTGAGTGATGTGGAGCACTTTTTCATGTGTCTGTTGGCCATCTGGATGTCTTCTTTGCAGAAATGTCTGTTCATGTCCTCTGCCCATTTCTTGATTGGATTATTTGTTCTTTGGGTGTTGAGTTTGCTAAGTTCTTTATAGATTTTGGACACTAGCCCTTTATCCGATATGTCATTTGCAAATATCTTCTCCCATTCTGTCAGTTGTCTTTTGGTTTTGTTAACTGTTTCCTTTGCTGTGCAAAGGCTTTTGATCTTGATAAAATCCCAATAGTTCATTTTTGCCCTTGCTTCCCTTGCCTTTGGCGATGTTCCTAGGAAGATGTTGCTGCGGCTGAGGTCGAAGAGGTTGCTGCCTGTGTTCTCCTCAAGGATTTTGATGGATTCCTTTCTCACATTGAGATCCTTCATCCATTTTGAGTCTATTTTTGTGTGTGGTGTAAAGAAATGATCCAATTTCATTTTTCTGCATGTGGCTGTCCAATTTTCCCAGCACCATTTGTTGAAGAGGCTGTCTTTTTTCCATTGGATATTCTTTCCTGCTTTGTCGAAGATTAGTTGACCATAGAGTTGAGGGTCTATTTCTGGGCTCTCTATTCTGTTCCATTGATCTATGTGTCTGTTTTTGTGCCAGTACCATGCTGTCTTGATGATGACAGCTTTGTAATAGAGCTTGAAGTCCAGAATTGTGATGCCACCAACTTTGGCTTTCTTTTTCAATATTGCTTTGGCTATTCGAGGTCTTTTCTGGTTCCATATAAATTTTAGGATTATTTGTTCCATTTCTTTGAAAAAAATGGATGGTACTTTGATAGGAATTGCATTAAATGTGTAGATTGCTTTAGGTAGCATAGACATTTTCACAATATTTATTCTTCCAATCCAGGAGCATGGAACATTTTTCCATTTCTTTGTGTCTTCCTCAATTTCCTTCATGAGTACTTTATAGTTTTCTGTGTATAGATTCTTAGTCTCTTTGGTTAGGTTTATTCCTAGGTATCTTATAGTTTTGGGTGCAATTGTAAATGGGATGGACTCCTTAATTTCTCTTTCTTCTGTCTTGTTGTTGGTGTAGAGAAATGCAACTGATTTCTGTGCATTGATTTTATATCCTGACACTTTACTGAATTCCTGTACCAGTTCTAGCAGTTTTGGAGTGGAGTCTTTTGGGTTTTCCACATATAGTATCATATCATCTGCGAAGAGTGAGAGTTTGACTTCTTCTTTGCCAATTTGGATGCCTTTAATTTCCTTTTGTTGTCTGATTGCTGAGGCTAGGACTTCTAGTACTATGTTGAATAGCAGTGGTGATAACGGACATCCCTGCCGTGTTCCTGACCTTAGCGGAAAAGCTTTCAGTTTTTCTCCATTGAGAATGATATTTGCGGTGGGTTTTTCATAGATGGCTTTGATAATA